TCCAAATAACGCTATGTCCTCAGATGTAGAATGCAATTCGTTATTTTTAAAGTCCAAGGAAAAATTGTATTTCCTTAGAAAGTCCAATCCGAGTATGCAAGAATCAGTGATCTCTGCTACATATGCCGTGTGATGGTAAGCGGCACTTCCAAACGTGATGTTAGCATTTACTTTTCCATCGATGTTGATCTTCTCACCGGACACAGTCTGTAGGGTAACGCAGGGCGGCGTCCAGATAAGTTTGCTTCCCAGTTGTTGAGCCAAATCTTTTCGGATGATGGTAACGTTGGCTCCTGTATCTATCGTCATATTGCAGGGAACTCCATTAATATGTCCTATTATGAAAAGTCCATTACTGCCGCCTCTCACTGCAGAAATCTGAAGCGCTTTAAACTGGGGCTTTTCATGATCTGGCAACCTCCGCCCCGCGAGATGGCCACTAATTAGTTTCCCTGCTGTTTGTTAGGAGCGGTCTTAGCATCCGTGCCCTGGGGTGTTCTGCAGTTTCGTCGGATGTGTCCTTCAGCACCGCAGTTCCAGCACTTTACGGTCGGTTTCTTGTCACCAATATTCTGTCTCAAGGCGTTCAGTTGTCTAGTTAAATCGTCTAGACGAGCAGTGACTTGATCCCCTGGCTCCTGGACTTGAGCAGCTCTGACTGGATGGGCGGTGGCGGTCTCGACGGGTGGCTTGCTGGGCTGCCTCAAATTTCATGGCGTACACTAAAGCGCTTTTCAGATCTTTAACATCCGCCATTCGCAGTGCTTTCTGTATTTCAGGGTCCCGGATGCCATCGATGAAATATTGCAGGGACAGGATTTCCCTTGTTTCTGTCGGGCACTCCGAAAAGGCGTGATGTGACAGCCTTTCAACATCCGTGGCGAGCTCCTGAAGCGTTTCGGTGAGCTTCTGTTGACGAGATTTTAATTGGAGCCTGCTGTAGTCTTTTAAAACATTTCTCGCCGAAGCGCAGCTCCAAAGCGCCGGATAGAGCTTCGAAATCTAGCCTTTGATTTTCGGGAAGCGTCTGCAGGATATCCGCTGCGTCTGCTCTCAGAGAAGCGGCGAGATGACAGGCCTTAGCTTGGGAATCCCATCCATTCGCATCCGCAACGATAGAAAATTGTGTCCTATACACCTGCCAGGAGGTCTTCCCATCATATGTAGATAGTTTCAGAACGGAACGAGCAGGCATCGATAAAAATTTGAAACCTTCAGAATTGTTTCCTACCGTCGCTATGCACTTCTTTAGGCTGTCAACTTCTTTGGCGACGGCAGCACAAACCCTATCATCAATTTGTTGTTCGACGGCAGAAATTCTCTCTTCTATATGTTCTTTTACAGAAATTCTTTCTTCTACTTGTTCTTTTACCGAAGAAACTCTTTCTTCTATTTGTCCAACTTTAGTTTCAACCGCATCTATTCTGCCTTCCATAGCCTCAAATTTATTTTCTATTACGCATAGGTAATTTCTCTTTTCATTTCGTCCTGACCTGCTTTCATCTCATTTTTAAGAGATTTCATCTCTTCCTTAACGGATTCCTGGCCCAATTTCATTTCTCCTTTAACGGATTCCTGGCCCAATTTCATTTCTCCTTTAACGGATTCCTGGCCCAACTTCATTTCTTCTTTAACGGACCTAATTTCTTCTTCTTTAACAGAGTCTTTCATTTATTCTTTAAATGTAGTAAAGGCTACCATGAATTGTTTTAACTGTTCTTCCATCGCTCTTGTGATTGGCATTCAAAATCCCACTTCTGACACCAAAAATTGTTGCGTGCGTACGGGTTCGTTATGAAATGAATGCACAAGTCCGATGAAAAATGAACAAAAATTTATTATTATCACAACAAAAATGCTTAAATTTTCTCAAATTATCATGCAGTATACAATATCTCACAGTAGTTATCTTTTAACTACTTCAAATGTCCAATAGAACGTAATTCAAAACAGCTAAAGAACGCTAATCCGCGAATTCGCTACAATCAACAACGAGCAGTTTTCTAAACAACAACAAACTAAGCAACTAATACAAACTGAGATGTTTTCCTCCTTTTATAAGATTTTAAAATCACGCGCTAGAATTTTCCAGCACTTTCTCGAAATCAAAAAGAGATATTTATTTATTTAACGCACGCGCTCTTGTATTTTTAATTTTTCCGGCTTAGCTTTCTTTTAATATTCGTCACGCGCTGCACTGCGCGAGAAATAAAACCATTTAATTTATAATTGAACTAACATTAGCTTTTTAAATACCAAATTCGTAACAGTATATTTTTTTCCTCTTCGTTTTCCATAATAAACAGAATTTTTCTTTCAGTCATGTAAATCCATGCTTCATAAAGGTCACAATGTGTTGTTGTTACGTATGGCTTTATTGGAAATATCATTCCAAACATATAAAACAGCTCAATTATCACACATGAACAATGCTAAATGTATTTCCATTCATCTCCTGCTAAATTGTTTGCATACAAGGTTCTACAAAACATTCTAGGTTGAGACGTCGGCAAAAGCCGGCGAACATTATGTTCCTTATCTTTTTTAAGTTGTAAATCTTGGTTCATTTTTTTATTTATTTGTTGCTGCAGATGTATTTTAAGACTTTGCAATTGATTTCTGTGCTTCTTTCCATGAAAAGTAATGACTGACGGGTTTTCTTTTTCCGATTAATAATGTGTCTTATTTTGCCCTTAGAAATTTTAATATCGTGATTTTCAAAAAGTTTTTCAATTATGAAATGGAAATGTCTCTTTTCAGAAATAGCAAAAACATACCCTTCAGTCCGCAGCTTGTTTATACGCGTCATTTTAAAAGAAGGATAAATTTAAAAACAGCAGACAATATTTCTCATTTCAAAGAAGTTGTTGCCTGAAATTTTTATTCCTAAACCTTTACTTTTTTTGAATTATTTACCGAAATCGTTCTAAAAATGTGTAATATGCATGTATATTCAAGTGTTTAAGTTAAATAATACATGTATATTCAAGTATTCAATTAAAGTAACGACCCTAGTATGAATCGAAAAGTAAATACTCGACTCTAAAGATTTCTAACCTCGAAATGAGATTTGTTAAGAAGTACATATGTATTGTTCTTGAATCGCTCGGTTTGTAAAGCAATGCACGGTTTCAACTCCAGAGATGAATAGATCTTAGGTTCAGTGAAATGGTATGATCTAACTAGACATACAATTTGCTATGTCGCGATCATGATAAACTCATCGCTGATTTCTCGTGGAATGGAAATATTGATGATAAATGACAATGACAGGTAATGCTATGTAATGTAAAATGACGGGACAAACAGGAAAATTTAGTCATTTCTAATTCCAAGAGAAATGCTTAGTTATTAGCAATATTTCACTAAATGTGCTATTATTATTTATTGTGTTTGGTATAATTAATTTTTAAGAGATATTCTTCATTTTATGCTTTGCATGCAATAGCTACAAAATTTCTCTTTAACTTCGACTTCTAAATTACCGTCAAAATAAAGAGATGTATACAACAACATATTATAATTATTTGCATATTTCCTTCTTTTTAAATTTTTAGGAGTAATTATTTTCAAATAATGTTTTTGTTTATTCATTTTTACATGTAGAAACAAATTTTTAAGTATCTAAAATAGTAATACATTTTGAAAATCGCTAGTTTTAGCTAACAATTGAATTCTTTACAATTCCTGTTTAGTGTATAAGTGGTGGGTATGGGATAATAAATACTATTTTGCCGAAAAAAAGCTCGATTTTTTGTAATAGTTTACATAGCGCTTTTGGTAGTAAATATTTTTCACTAAAAAGCGATTTCTATTTTTGATGCTTTTAAGTAGGAAAGAATTTACGTCATCTTTGACGTATGAAACTGGAATCAACTTTTTTTGTGATTCCATATCAAAATGTATTGTTCTTACGAAGAATTTTAACTGTTATCAGTTACAATGTTGATACTGAGGAATAAATTGAAAACCGATTAGCGGATGGGAAGAAACTAAATAAAACTAAAGTTTAAAGACCGGGATAAAGGTTATCATTTCGATAACCACACAACAGTAAGTTTGGAGTAACCCATCAGTGGTTTTTTTGCTTACTGTGGTAAATTAACATAAATATTCATGTTCATTTATGCTTTTGGAATATGGCATAACTGTTTTCATACGTTATTGCTTATTATTTGTTTTATATATTACTTTATTGCAATTTTGTGTACGTTTCGGTATCTTGTATAATTTTTAATTTGGGGTTAATAAACTTATATTTATGCTTTTAATTGATTTCTTATGTCGAGGTACATGCAGTTCTGAGTAAAAATGTATTAGAATTGTGTAAATAGCACCGGCAAAACTGGAAATACTGACAGTAGGAAACAACTGACTCCTATTTGCTATTAATTGCGACGAAAAATTAAATCGCTATTAATTGCGACTTCTCATAAAATTTATCAACATTCTGGAAGTTCTGAGGAACGAGCTGTTGTCTTTTTAGCGAGAAATGTTTTCTCTGATATATTTCAGGAGTCTCATTTTCTTTCACCGGTCTCACTTAGCGAAAGTAAAGATGAGGCCGGCAGAAACCTTTAATCTAGAGTTCTGTCGAGTCCACGTACTCAAATCATCGCCTTTGCTCAACAAGTGAGTTTGCCACTTTAAAAAAAGTAAATTCCATTATAATGAATCAGTTACAACTTACAGTCTTATAATATTGAGGGAAAGAAAGTTTCTCTTTTCTTATTCTAAGAGCGTTATCTTCAGATAATTTCATCACTTGTAATAATCGCTGGTACTTGCCGTGAAAGGCAACAGTTTCGTTTCATCCCCGCCAGTTATTTAAGAGACTTACCCAATCTGCTAATAAGCAGTAGTATTAATCATGTGACTAAAACACCCCATAAAAACTGTAAATATCCACGAGAGATATTTCAGCTGTATATTACATTCCGCATATTGTACAACAAGTAAAAGTAAAAAACTTTTGAAAAGGAGTCATAAATACCACTTACTGTTAGAATCGAACAACGTGAATGACGTATTCGGAGGTCTGCCCAGGAATTCGCTCTTCGCGAGCGCTTCTCTAATAACGTTTGCGCTGTTTAATATCACAATCGTCTCAGATCCTAGCCGCACACTAATTAGAAAAAAATTAAACAATTAACATACAGTTACATTATTGTCCGCATAATGCATTAAATTTTCATGACAAAATCGAATGGCAAAATCATGACTCAAATAATCTTCTTTTTCAGTTTCTAATAAATAAAATAAAAATGAAATACGCACTGTAAAATGTAACATATATTGTGAGTGAAATTTCACTCGTAATAACATTAACGTAATACAGTAGAGTCCCCCACACTCCATTAACGTAGGCTGACGGGAGAGCGTTACCGAAAAATGTCGATTTTTACTGAAAAAGTGATGGGTATATTCTCTTACGTGTAGTGATGGGTACATAATTCATAATATTTCAACCAATACCTAAACTGTTGTGTAGAATATTTTGGAGCGGAATAATCACTTACAAAATTTAATAAACTACAAAATTTTAATCTTACTCCCTTGTAAGGTACATCCTAATTTTATAATAGCTATTTTTAAGCTCTTATCTTGTCTTTTCCAGCTTCAGTTTACAATTCCTTACCGGAATGAGTTTTTAGAATCGCGTTAAATGCAAATGAGTAGTAGAGAGTATTTAGGTTCACTGACTTCCATAGAGAGAATTAGGATTCTTGAATAGAGCGGTTTTGCCTTTTGGCTACGTTTCTCTAAGCTGTTACTACGCTCGGCAGTATTGCGTACCCTTGATAGCTTCGTTAGCTAATTTAATATTAACTAACGAAGTCAGGTATTTTCCTTTTTTCGTTTGCCGTGGGAAGTTCTCCGAGATACATCACGCTGCGACAAAACGTCTCTTAGACAAAAACAATACATTTTTCTACTCTTCTGTTTGCATCGTTATTCAAGGAACAAGTAAACAATAAATGGAGCCAATGATGCAGATTAGGCATTTTTTACGAAGCTCCCGCGTCTATTTACCTCCTACAACGAAAGCTTTCAGACAAATTCCTGCGTAACAAGTCAGTTTCGCAACTCAGTTCAGCTGCCGGTCCTGTGGCTGGCTTCTCACCAAAAGCGAAAAGGATCATTTATGCACATTATTTAACTTTTACTGGCGCCTACTGCTAGACCCCTATATGCTGTCAAGTAGCACGACAATTAGAAATAACCGTGAAGCCAGAAACTGCACATAACAAAAAACCTTGACAGTTTTGTCAATGCTTTTACAGGCATCCAATTCATTTCCGTTGTCATGTTAACTTCTTTTCTTCTTGTTCGACATTTTCACTTGCACGGACAAAACAGTGCAATTACATATAAGCCTGGATATTAACTGAGAAATTCTACTTGAAATGAGAAATGAACTATACCCGCCTAGCAGCCATGTGCTTGCTAACAGCTAGTAACAGAAAGGAAAAATATAAGTGATAAATGATAGCAGTTATCTGTCTTTCTTCAGCCATTTTGTTACTGAGAGGAGGAAAGAGATAAGACTGGAATTTCCATGAAATGAACAAAACCTGTCGCCTAATTCATTATACAGGTTCCAGGAAATAGTTTCACACTGGAGAAAAGGTATAGAATTAGTTATATAATAAATCTTTGAACAGAAGAGTGAAATATGCGGACGATCCCACGCATAATGTATGTACTCTTATTACAATAATACAGTAATTAAAATGTACTTATACTGTTTGCACTGTACAAGCGATGTCAGAAATCGTTGCAGTCTAGCTAAAAATAAACAGTCTCATTATTTCAAAGATGCTGCTGCTTCGCCAGCAAAATTTAGCCCTTGAAAAAGTGATCTTAGAGTTATATGGAATGTTGAATAATCGGAAGTCGGATTTCCGGAACTCTATTGCATTTTTTACCCAGGTATTAAGAAGGTACATATACCATTCTTTATAAGAATAACATACTATTGACCGATAGGAAAGATCTGTCTGATTTCTTGATAATATGTTACGCTAATTTCATTCGAGTATATGAATTTAGATACATTTTTAATACTTATGGTTACACTATGCGTATAAAAATGACTGACTTTTCTTTCAATCAGTCCCGTTGGATCTGCCAAATAATAAATTAGAGGAAATATTTCCTTACATAATTCGGCTATATCTTAATTTAAAATATCATCTTTTTATCGAAGGGAATTTAAATGGAATTTTTGTTTGAATTTGTACAGCATATATATGCTCTTCCAGGTTTTAGAGGTCGAAAAACAGAAAGTATTAAAATTTGAAATTGAAATGGCAGACTGCAATTCCGAATTTTTTCAATCACACTACTTTATGGATGAAAACTGCTATTTCATTTATAACCCATATGCAAACTGAACCTGTAGAAGTAAGATTCCCTTCTCCTAAAGAAATTTTCGCTTTTGGAATCTTCAAATAACTACGATGTCAGAGATTTCAGTCATCATGAAATTATTCAAGAGGGAAATGATTCCATAGCATTAGTCAGTAACCATTCCACAAGAAAATGGTTTTTGGTTTTTAGCCTTTCAGTCCATAAAACCAGGTACCGTCCGCGAAAATTTAAGCAATTGGTTTCAGCTATTGTTACCTGAGTTATCTCTGTCTAGACAAATTTATCATCTGATAAGCCAGATTTCGTCCTTGATATCTGCTTAAAATGAATCCAGAACTTCAGTCTAAAATAAGCAGCATAAAAATATATATAATCAAAAAAAAAAAAAAAAAAAGAGAGAGAATCTGAAAGCTTTCAGATTTTACGTTACTCCCAAAGGGCCTATTTTTAACGCTTTGTGTGTTCGCTTTATTTATTTAATATCATGTTCGCACTTAAACTATAAAATTCAGTTCAACAACAATATCGCAAAATAATTTTAAAATGAGCATATCTTTAGAATTTCGGATACACAGTCTCGCGTGCTGGAGATAAAAAGGGTTTTTTTTTTTTTTTTTTTTTTTTTTTTTTTTTTTTCCCTCGTAGAGTGTTTCCATTGCTCGCTTCTAAATCGTTGAATTTGTTAATCAAAAATTCGTTAAAGTTTTACAAAATATGAAATAGATAATAAAACAAATTCCAAATTTCAAATTTGGGCTTCTAAATGCGCTTATTCGGGTGGAAACGTACGTTATTCAAAATTTGATGGCTCTAGGTATCGTTGTTTCATCACAATGCGAAAAACATACATACAATTCATGCAGATTCTTCATTATTTAATTCTTTAAATATGTTAAAAAATATGTGGCAAAAATTTGAAAAGTGAACCAACATTATTTAGAGTGAATCAGAGCGAAATGCCAAAACGAAATCAATACTCCTTCTGGGCAAATTGCCCCTTTGGACTAAAAATTACAGATTAACATGTATTTAATTTCCACTCGGACGTCAGCAATGTTTTTGTTTTCCTGAACGTGTGGCTTCTGAAATGAAGAAATTCCTGAATCAGTAATGAATTTATTTTTCGAGATACCTTTTGGAAAGTTGTTTAGAATCTCAAATTTAGGGGTAAATACTTAGTTAAAAAATTATTTCTTGCAGTAAGGAAACAATAAAAACAGACAGAAGGTGTCATGCAGCATGAAAGCAAATATTGGGCTACATGACATTTGTTTTATTTGTTTAATCTTTTTATTATGTAGGGAAAATAACAGTATTTTTCTTATGATTATTGATAGATTTAAATAATTTTTTCTTGCGGAATCTATTAATTTAACTTCTAAACGAAGAAGCCTGTTTTGGGAAGTAAAATTTCCAGAAATGGAAGAATCCCTCTTTCTCATGCATTTTTCATCTCTTAAATTTGATTGCTGCTCATAATGTATTTAAGTTACAGGATTTTTCTGTAACTTTACTACCTTCACACTATGGTCTGTATTAAAAATGAAGTTTTATAACCCAGTCGGAGCACAAATATTTGCACATCGACAGCTAAGTATAGTTCTATGACCACATCTATGAGCGGTTTTTTTTTTTTTTTTTTTTTTTTTTTTTTTTTCTAGATTATGCGATATAAGGTAAATCAGATCATTGGTTACTTCTTATGATGAAATCATTGCTTTTTAAAGCAATTATAATTGTATTTGTTCATTCCAAAAACCCTGGCTAGAAATCATCGCATTGAAAGATTCAGCGTATGTCTTTAAATAAATGTAAAAATTTCTTATAAGAATTGTTAGTAAGCTTCCGATGTTTCTTTTTAAATAATTAAATCATTCCCATATTCAAAAACGTTATCCCACTTGTGCAATTTATCACTGAAGAAAATTTTTAAGTTTAAGAAATTTTAATTTCTTAGGTGAGTGGAAAGAATTTCACTTAAATTTCCGAATTTCACAACTTTTCTTTCAAGATTCGAGAATGGAAAAATATGAGGAACAATAATCATTATGAACACAGTTTGTAACAAATTTACGATTACAATGGATGAAAAAAGTATGTACGTTATTGTGAAAAACTGCAATAACGTATATCAATCTTCATGTCGTATGCATTCACCGATATTAATTGAGCATCTTAAACCTTCGTATGTATTTTGCATTGTTTAAATAAATAAAAAAAACTTAAAAGTGTAACTAAATTAACAGTAAATTTAATTTAACTTGACCTTGGAAAAATATTCAAAATGGTATCAGAGTTCCCGATATGTGGCGTCCAAAACCGTTTAACTTCTACTGTATCTTCGCGTTTTTTTTTTTTTTTTTTTTTTTTTTTTTTTTTTTTTTTTTGACATAGCCTTTTATTTGACGTAAGACCTAACAACAGTTTCAAATAAAAAATACCGCTAATAGATTCTAATTGAAGTGATACTAAGTGTAAAATAAATTTCGTTCAACTAACCTGAATACCTCTCCATACTTCTTTCCTAGATCCATAAGTTTGAGATGCACATTTTTCGTTAGGAATGGTAAATAGCCAACAATTGGTAAGCCCATAGGTCCGGGTGGAAAATTCCTCTTTTTGACAACCCATCGCAAAATTAGAGAAAGAAGAATACACAGGGTAATCGTAGCAGACGCTATAAGAAATTCCGGTTTGATATCTTGCAAATAATTTGAAAGTGCCATAATGAGCAAAAACTGTCCAGAATTTAACCTTTTAAATAATTAAAGAAACGTCTAATAGGCAGTGAATGACGTAAAACTATACATGCATGAGATGACAAGTGAAAAATACTCGTTCAGTTGCGCGCTTGCTGTGGAATAGTAAATGCTCACAGATTACATGGGAGGTTATATTTATCTACTCCTCCTAACCTTGAAAAATTAATCTGAAAGATAAAGAGTCACATTTTCCCTGTGGAATGAGGGGAATAACAATATCTGGGAGATTCTTTCTAAGCCTCGAGTTAACTTCATAAAATTGCCAGGTTTGGGAAAAAAGCAATTATTCGTTTCAAATTTCGCATCTCCTCCTTATGCCCCCATCAAACATCTCGTTCTATGCTTTCTTATAAGAGTGCTCATTTCGAAGTCGCCAAATAAGTTACTAAATCGTTGCTCCGCTAGCGGCTCCATCTTTTGTTCCGCAGAAGAACTTTTCAATTGAGCTTGTGGATTAGTTCGATATCGCACAGCCCGTAATTTCTTAGTGGTATTGATAATAGAATTTAGCATTGGGTCAACTTTTAGCAACGTGAAACGTTAATCAAAGGACAAAATTTAAAAAAAAAAATCTAAATTAAATTAAATGAAAGAAATTGAAGAGTTTCAGATTTTAATGATCACCCAAAAGGATTTGTTAAAGGTTTTACGCTCTCGCTGAGCTTTCAATCTACAAGCCTGCTGTTACACTAACAGCTGTTAATCCATTTCTTTTTGTCTTTTTAGCTTTATTATTAATCATCGTTTTCTTCGCATTGTCTTTTTAGCTTTATTATTAATCATCGTTTTCTTCGCATTTACGCCATACACAATTCAACAGGAAAATTACAAAAATTTTAAAAGAAGCTTTGCAGCATATGTTTAGAATTCTCAATGCAGTGTTAAATGTTGAGATACATTTTCTATTTTTTTAAACTATAATTCTTTCCTAGATCCATAAGTTTTAGATGCACGTTTTTCGTACATATTTATTTCATTTATTATATTATTTTTATTATATTATTTCTTATATCATTTTTATGCATTTTTCTAGAGAATATTTACCCGTTCATATAGAAGATCTGTATATTATTTTTTATAATAAGAAATGATTATTAATGCATGCCTATGATATGCACCTCGAACTCAAAAAATTCTTCATTCTACCACCTGAGCTCAGATGACATGCATATAGAAGGAAAATCACTCAAATCTTCCGCTACACTTTTTTAATTTGAAATAAAATTCTCTGCTACCATATATTTATCATTTGCTAAAAACACACATAATTTTTTTACCCAAAGTGTTAAGTCGAGGCGTTATGAAATCGGTTATAGTTCACCATACAGTGAAACATTAAGTAAATACCGCAATCCGTTTTTCTTTGTTTCTCTAGTATGCTTAGATTATTTTATCGCTTTGTAATTGAGATCCCCGTTAACACACCGATTTCGCAAGAAATCTGCGTGAAACGTCAACGATGAGGCTGTAATATATACTTATATTTATATTATTATTTCATTATTTTTCCGTTTAGTGTTATAGCAATAGTTTTATAAAATACCTTAGTTTACTAATTTTTACTATTTAGCATCATATACTTAAGTTTTCTGATAAGCATGCTTTTTATTAAATTATTGTTATTTTATTTATCTTATGCCTTTTCAAAATTAACAATAAACACTTAAATTTATTGATAAGTAGCTAATCTCAGGTTACTTTCTCTTTATATTGATTATGCACAAGATAGGATACTTCTGTTACTTTATTTCTTTTTTCCATTATATATCTATCCGAAAGCCGTTTTGTTTCAAACACAATTTTCTATCTTGTGAAACTGGAATTGTTCACTTCTGACTTGCGGGAAATATTTGTTTCAAACCTTGTATGCAAGCAATAATAAAAAGAAATGCTAAACCCTCATCTCGATTGTTTACGTTTTTTTCTAGTTTATGAGCCGCTCAGTTTAGATATGTGATTTTATCTCCTGTATGTAGAATTTCTGAGGACTCATTTCTAATTGATAGGATTATCGTAAATATTTAAGTTATTTTAACTGTTAAACACGAATCTGAAAATGAAGAACAGATAAAACGTTTATTTTACTTTATTTTTATAATTTTTGTATCCTTTTATTTTTTAATAATTCCTTTAAAAAAATTTTAATGATAAATTCTCTTTTACTTAGATTATGAGCTGAAGTTTCAAGCAAAATTTACCATTAGTTATTTTTAATTAAAAATTGAAATCTTTAAATAATTTTTTTAACTTCAATTTTTTTTTTAATTAAAGAAGTTATTCTTTTTTTGTATTTTTATACTGTCAAGAAATTTGAAGGAAAACAGGTTGATTTTTTTAATTAACCTGATTTCCCTCAATAGAAAATTGATTAATTTTTTGCTTTAATCAACTGTAAAAAAGATACTATGAAATTCAAGTTTCCTGAAGGACAAGGGAGCTATTAATTAATGACACATAATAATTTATGTAAGAAGAGAATTATCTCACGCACAAAGAGTTTCGAGGATTATTCCGCAAAGAGCAAAAATATTGAGAAATGCTGCACTGTACTATGAAGCGGGTACTATAAGTCCAATGAATCATAAAGCTATTTCGTTTTCTTGTCATTATGATATTTGCTACAAAATCCTTTTAATTTCCTCTAAGAAAGTTTCCTTTGCGTTCGTAATACTACTAAATATCTGATGCAATTCCAGTACCTCAATTGCAAGTTTATTATTATTGTATTATTTTTCCCTCAAATGAAAAGCTTACGAAATACTTGACAGTTTAAACATCATTGTGCTTGAAGCATTTTTGTTTCTATTTCATCATTCATTTCCTTTTTCCAACATCTTAGCTTCGTAGATAAAATTTAAGATTAGAGAATAACAAGCAGCAAACTCGTAACTATGCTGTCACATGCCATATGCTATCACGTGTCACATAATGCTGTCACATGCCGTGTCCATCATAGAAAAAAAGAAAGAGTATCGCAATGGACACTATATTGTGAGATCTATTTTTTGTCATCATTAAATACAGAAGACCTTCGATTATCAGAAATTAGTGTGACCAGGATGGGTTTGAATAACTGATTTATTCTAACAATTGATTTTCATATTTAAATAAAAATGACTTTATTTTAAGGAAACCATTTATACTTAAACAAGTATATCTCGAAAACTTTTATTTTGAAACATTAAATGTTTTATTTCAACATAAACATTATAAGTTTCATCAATCTTAATCTTCTCGTATAATCAAAATCATAATCTTCAGATAAACTTAAACAATAGATTTTAACATTTCTTTAACTGGAAATAGTTTTTTCTCGTACAGACAAGCTCCCTGGGATTTTTGCCACGAGGTTCAATCTTTTAGTTTCCTAAATTTTTTCGCTTAGTGCCTCTCTAAATTTTAATAGTTTTGCCGCCTCTAAATTCTGACCTCGATGCCTTTGGCATCAGCTCTGCGTAGAGATGTCATAATTAAGAATAATACATTCACAAAATAGAATTCGTTGTCCAATCCCCAAAATTGAAGCAGATTGGGCAGGCAGGCAAATATAGTAACATTGGCTACGAAACTTCTTTAGAAATCCAAGAACCAAATTATGAAGTAATAAGGCGAGATTTTAAGATTTTTAAAAATCTCTTACCACACCTATATCTTTTATTTCCACACTTTTCTGGGTATATTCTCTGACATATATTCCAACAAATTTTAACGAATTCTGAAAACCTATCGTTTAAGTAATTTAAGTCGTAAAGTGGAGTGAAAATTAAAAGACAATTGAGGAAATATGTAAAAACACGCTGTGATTTACCAAGCTGTTTTGTATTAGATTCCACTAAACTGTCGATTTCGAAATATTGCGATCAGTCAAAGCATAAAAATTTTCTGAGCGCAAAAGAATATGAATAGAGTTCAAATAGTAGAAAAGTGAGGTCAAGGCACTCATAACTGTTTGAGTTACTGACAGTACATTTGAACAATGTTTGAAAATAAATAGAAAAGAAATAATTTAATTTTAAAAACCAGCAATCAAGCGAAAGAAGGAAAATCAAATAGAATTTGTCAAAATTAGGTAGATGCGTTTAGTAAGTCTCAAAATATCGCTTTTTTTATCATAAAAACAATTTAAATTGACTGGAAAAGTATCTAGTAACCACGAAAATGTAGAGCATGACCAAACGTTTCTCGAAAATACATTAAAGATATTCTTGTATGACCTACAACCGTTCCTTGGGAATGTTTCATAGATTTAAGATGTTAAAAGAACAGTAAAATGACAGCACAACAGATTAGTAGCAAGCTTACAGTATCTGCAAGGTAGTACATATATTTAAGCTGATATATATTATGCAATTTAGTTTACATACTAAGTTCCACAAAAAGGCCTCTGGGAAAAAACACCGATGCATTCCTTATACTTTAGCTGCAACCAGGTCCCCATTTCAGATGTCATGTGAACATTGTAATCAAGGGGTTGGAGTCCAGTTTGCTTCACAGATGAGCATAGGTTATGCTAAGAAATCTATTCTAAATGTATACTTAAAGTGAAAGAGTCCAAGATAGGATTTCTTGTCAGCAGTACTGTAGGTTAGCAGGAGGCGGAATCAACCGGTTTGGGTGAAATAATATCAAATGGATGCACATACCTTTTAATGTAATTCCAGAAATGCTTTGAGACAAATAATGTCATGGATTCATATGAAGCTATTTATAGATGAAATATAATAAAGAAATGCCTTATCCTACCCATTTTCTCTAGCATAAATCAGATTAAGCATGCTAGAGATGTTTTAAGTAGCAAGACTTCAAAGTTCTAGACACTGCAGGGACTAATAAATATGCTTAAATAATGTTTTTTTTTACAAAAGTTTTGTAAATAGAATGACAAATCATTGCTCGTTTTATAGTTTTTGTCCCGTAATTAAAACCCCATTAAATTATTAAGTCCTGAGATTGTATATTTTTGAGTATGTGATATTTATTTAATATTCCTAATTTCGATCTTGTGTCAAAAGTTAAAATAATTTTAAAATCTGCAAAATTTATTTCTGCGTCCTATGAGTCACGAAAACATAAAGGTTTTGTGCAAATTTTGTATTTCTTATCGGAAAGCAACGGGTCTGGTTATTTTCAGTAATTATCATTTCATATTTAATATTTTACACATCATTTAATCCACAATTATATTTAGAAAAAGTTTGTTTGTTTCTATCTTCTTCGCCCGCTCCCAACGATTGTTTTTATCTCTAAGGTTTGAACTATTCGAATTTCGATTCAGGAGCCT